AAAAAAACAGGTCGCGACCAGGCCCCTTAATATATATTTTTAGTATATAATATAATATATATATTATATTTATTACCCCATACATTTATTAATTAAATATTAAATTATATTATTATTTTTTTATATAACTGTATAGTAGTAGAGAACAGTTTTGAAATATAGGTAAATAATATAGGTATTATTTCTTTATTAACTCAATTTGATTCGATTTAATGTAAACGTAATAGTACCTACGTGAATATTACCGAAGTGTGTTATAATTTATTGATTATTTTTAATTATATTGAATTTCGACTAAATAAAAACGAAATTTAAATTATTCGTTGTACATACTAATCGTAACTGTTACTTACATAACAGTGCAATTATCTAAAAATGTTGAATTTCGTAATTTGAATTCACAGTGAGCGCAATCATAAAGCTTTTCTAGAAGAAGTCGTTACGAAACAAAAATTATTGTTATCAGGTATTACTTTAAGAAGGCAACCACTATAATAGTTAGTATCTAATCTCATTATCTCAATCATTCTTAAGAGCATTTATTTCGATAATATATGAAGTTAGGAAAATAATATGTTTCAATGTTTCTAAGTCTCTGGTTCAAGGAAAATTTATGATATAATATGAAAGTAACAAATATTTTTTTACAAAAGTCTTCAATTTTATTTCATGGAATCTCTATATAGTCTTCATATTTTACGACTTTACGCAATATTAGATAATATGTGTAAACATGTATTTGATAAATGTACCTAATTTGTTATACGCGCGACGGCCACGTGACTAACCGTTCAAATGCATACGGTAATCACATGTATATTATACTTAAATGGATTCTATGTATCAATAATTATATTAGTTATTTTATGAAAACAAAATATCAACAATATTAATAATAATATATTGATTTATGGTTAAACATAAAACATGACTTTTTCAATTCCATTTAAAAACCTTATCACGTACAAAAAATACATTTAGACTTCAAGAAAGAGTCCCATAATTCAATATTAGAAATTTTTAAAAAATATTAAATATCAGATTGTTGTTTTCATTTCAGTCAAACCTGCAAGTTTTGGAAACAATGCCTTTGTCATTCTTTGTCACTTTGTACACTCCAAAGTACAAAAGTTACAAAAAACAATAAAGCTATGACAAGGAAAAAACCGTGGTGTCTGTTGGGTAACACTAATATGCTCTAAAAAAAAAAGAATACTTAGTAAAAAAAAATGTGTTTCAAAACGTGGTATTTTTTATAAACAATTTTATGTGATATATCCATTGTATTCAAGATCGGTGAGTGGAAAAAATGTGTACCTAGTCGTTACCCTAATAATTTACAGGTAAAAAACATATTTTTGTAACCAAACGTGTTATGGCCAAAGGTATAACATAAACAAAATCGTTTTTATTTCTCGTTTTAATAGTCTCGTCGTTGGACATATACACCTGCCATCTATAGGTACATACACTTACTTTTACGGCGTTTTTTTTGTTTTTTTTTCCTCGTCGTTATCCGATTCCGAACGGGTATATTATGTTTATTATTAAATATATGTACCTATTATTATTTATTATACATAAATTATACGACGGCGGTGCATCGGGATATAGAACGGGATAGGCCTCGTCCAAGTAGTTTATCGTGTTTTTAAAGATATTCTCATTTGCATTCGTTCACGTGTTATCTTCTACCATGCAGCGTGCATTATAATAAATTTATAATATACGTACGTCACCACGACAGCGGCGAGCGATCGTTCAAAATCGGGTGGAATATCTGACAGCCACACGAACACACACACACATAATATATTATATTGTTTACTGCTGTTATATGTAACCTACGTCGCCCCTGAAGTCTGTATACCATTGGTATTTTGTATTTACATAATTCAGTCGCATACCGAACGACGGTGAATAATAATAATAATAATAATAGTAATAATGACAGTAAAAACGACCCCGGTTTACCAAGCCTGATTTTTGTTTATCTAATATATAGAGACCGCTCAACGTTTGTGGCGGGAGGGAAAGATGACAATTTATTATATTTTGTTAAAGCTTATTAAAATAAGGACACGCTCATCAAATTGGACGGACTATTGTGCTATACAGAATTGTACACTACAAGTACAACAATATACTATACCGGTAATCGTATTCATAAATTCATATCGTATATATACTGATATATACTTTGATATTATACTTTATGTATGTTCTATATTATAATTATAAACCACTGTATATAGCACCTAAAAATAACAACAAATATGCGCATAATAATAAACGGCATTTAAATGATGACTTAAGATTTTAATAACTACAATGTTATTACTTATTATAATATACGACATAAAGATGTGACTGCAAGGTGAGTGTCACAAGTCCACGACCCCGAAGTCATTGTCTCGGTGCTTTTGGAAAAACTCGAGGGTAGGATAATTTATTGTGTCGATAATAATAATAATAGGTATTATGAATGTTATATTGTTGTCGTATTTCGAGTTCCGTTACCTGCCGAATGTTTCGTATTTTAATTTGTTAAGGATATTATTTACTATACATTTTAATATTTATGACTTTTAAATAACACAATAACCGATACAGCAGTAGTTTCACATTATTGTATCATAAGTAGTTTATAAATAATGTATTAATTTTTTTGTTCCATAGTTATGTATAGGCGTAAATGTAGAATACATTATTATTACGACTACGAATACTAAAATAATAGTGAATACGCGCGTGTCGTATTGTAGAGTAGGCTCCCCACGCGTGCAGTAAGTCGTAGATTATAATATCACCCATAAAATAAAGTAATGTATACGGGACGTCATCGGATATCATATTTTTGGGCGCATGTAAACTCCACCGATTGCGACCTTTTTAGACCTTTTTTCATGTAAACTCCACCGGTACGTTTTTTTTTACCTGAAAAAAAAATGTAAACTCCACCGGTACATTTTTTTTACCTGAAAAAAAAAATGTAAACTCCACTGGTACGTTTTTTTTTTTAAATTGTAATCCAAATCCAATTTGATTAACTAAGATTACATAATTTATGTGGGTGCAGTTTTATTATAATATATTTATGTATTTAAATACAATGATTTTAAAAAAAAAATCATATAAAAATCAATTAGAAAAAAATAGAAAAGTCTATAATTATAAATAATAATTAACAATAATTTAAAAAAAAAATTATATAAAAATCAATTAGAAAAAAATAGAAAAGTCTATAATTATTAATAATAATTAACAATAATTTAAAAAAAAAATCATATAAAAATCAAATAGAAAAAAATAGAAAAATTATAATTATAAATAATAATTATTATTGTTATTGTTTGTAATATTTAAAATTATTCAAACAAAGCAACATATTTCCACGTTCACTGGTTAATTCACTTAATGTGTTCATTTTGAAATCAACGGACGCACTAAAATGTGTCTTCGAAAATATTTTATCGAATGCATTCGTTTCGCGATATCGCGATATGATTTTATCTGCGGTCGTTAAGATGAAGTTTAAGATAAGTCAGTCGAAAGTTGATGTGTATACACTATACATATAGTTTTAATTAGTGGATTTTACCATAGGTGGAGTTTACGTGTTTTCAGGTCAAAAATACGTATCGGTGGAGTTTACATTTTTTTTTCAGGTAATAAAAATGTATCGGTGGAATTTACATGTTACAAATCCAACCCTAAAATCGACTACCTGTAAATCGGTGGAGTTTACAATCGCCCATATTTTTGGTGATTGAATACGATAAGAATCCAAGGCTGCGGTGAATGATCTGAGCGGCTGTGAATTGTGATTATTTATCGAGTAAAGGTCCCCACACACTGCAGCGGTTGCAGTTGGCGAGGGCGGTAGTGGTTACGGCAAAATGAGTCTGGACACAATTTTACCGCCACCGCTGCAGTGCCCTTTAGACGAACATTCAATTTCCCCGGGTGCAAAATTCTGGGTCCTATAAAGGGGAGCTGGTGCTTGATCTCCAAAGAACTAAGACTAAGAATTTTTAATTTTACCATACGTTACACTATCTTATAATTATTGTACGATATATAATAGGAATGTATTTATAACATATTCTTAAAAATAAAATATAAAAAGCAAAATTTTGGATCATCCTGCATTATCAACTAGTTGATTCCCAAAATAACCAAGAAATTATGTCAGATCTGAATTGCAGCCTGGGTGTTTATACGTTTATCCGAGGTTTTATTTCGTAATACCTCTCTGACTTTTTGTCCGATTAGTATTTTAATGTTTATAATTTAAAGATGACGTATCTACCATATTTTGCTACGACCGTTTAATAATTAGAGTAAAACATTAATAAATTTGTGTTTAAAATAAAATATCAATCATGTTTTACCATTGTCATATTATTAATTTTTTCATAAATATGACAAACAAAACAAATTATGTTTATTTTAATAAAATTTTTTTATTTTTAATTAATATATTGAATGTATGAATATTCGTATGTGTACTAAAAATCCTGGTACACAATTTTGGAGAAATTTAAATAGCGGGGTGGAACTATACCTATAACTTGTTTTGGGGAATTTAATATATTCAACAAATTATTGCAGGGAAATTGTTTTAGGATATAGCGTAGAGTTCTAATTTAAAACAATGTATTTAATTCGAACATACTGATGACTTCTAAAACTGTTGCTGTAAACGAACAGAGTGTTTGAGCACAAAGAGCATACAGACGACAAACATAGCTAAACATTAATTTTTGTACGATATAAATTATGGAGGTATATTAATTATGAAATTCGTTTGACTTGTTATTCACGAAAGTTAATGAACACGATGGTAAGATCTCTAACCATTAATGGGATTTCTTAATCCAAATCCATCATAAGTTTAAAAAAAAATGTCTACCTAAAAAGAAGCACCTACGTTTATTAGGTAACAAATAATAATATATATCGTACCGCAACGTCCTAATTCAACACAGACATGAAGGTTACGGGTAAATTGGCCAAGCATAGCCAACATAATAATATACCGACGGTGAAGTGGCGCCAATCCGGTTGGCGGTGGCCAATCCGTCTCCATAATATGCCCTGTTATCGTCCCAGCCAAGGCACCCAGGGCAGACTAGACATTCGGGTTTAAAATTGGCTTGGATATCGGGGTAATCGGTCAAAAAGTCCGGATTCGTTTTTTGATTGCCGAACAAAGAGTCAGAGTACATTTTTACTGTCCGACAAAAAGTCCTTCAACATAAAATTGTCTATTAAATGTATAATGTATACATAATTGCCTATTAATGTATAATGTATACATGTAATATTATGTATAGTCAGTTCATAAATAATAAATATTTATTTAAACAATTTTTTTTTATATTTTATTACTTCTTATTATTTCTGCGATTACCTACACAATGTCACAATATACAATATTATATAGGGGAAACCTGGATGAGATGTAAAATGGGATAATCCAATCATTCAATCATACGATTACTTTTCTGGAATTTTTATTATACTTACCTACAGCAATCTTACAAAATAAAATAGGTAATAAAAAAGTTAAACCTATTGTTATTTAAAATTTTCAATCCTTAGCTATAAAAATTGAACATTTAATAATTTTCACATTACGTTTGGCTATACAATAATAATAATAATTTGATATACACTACGTTTGCCTATACAATAATAATAATATTAATAATTTAACAATTAACAAAAATGATTGTCGATGTCAATACAATAATATATTTTAAATTCGGCTTTTGAGGAGATTCTATCAACGTATTATAAATAAACTCATTATTATCATATTATATTATATTATAAATTGTATAGACAATTATGTATTTTCGGACTTTTTGTCTGACAATAAAAATGTACTAGGACTGTTTGTCAGGCAACCAAAAAATGAATCCCGGACTTTTGGTTGCCCCCTGACTTTTCGTCCGGAATTCGGATATCGGCAACGACTTGTTGAATCATAGGTGTTACTGAAGCCGTACTGTGGGACCGCCATGGCGCTATGGTACGTTATTAAAACGATTAAAACCGATGCCGTTTAAAATGTTTACTATACTCAAAAATCAATAAAATACAATTTTTTGTTTAGGTCGTCATTGATATTATGTGAATTTAACACAAAATATAAAAATAATAGGGTACACATGAATTACATAGTGCACGTACCAGGTCATTTAAACGTAATTTTTTGAATGTGTTACAGTTTAATGTATTTTTTTTTAATTAAAAATAATATGATAATTCTATACATATAAGTAACATCATCGAAAAAATATCTTTATATATTATTATGAATAGTAATTATAAGTAACAGTCAATTACAATTTAAAAATTATTGCTGACTTTGAGGTGTAAGCATAATATCATACTATTATAGGGCTTGCAATACGTTAGTATAATACGTTATATTTGACAAAAAACAATTGAAATTTGTAAACGTAATTATAACGGAAAACAATAATCAAAAATAATTAAAAACCACAAAACAAAACATAACAATTAACAATATGAAATATTATATATCATTAAACAAAACATAACGCAAAACGTAATATTTTAAAATCTATTTATTAAAGTACTATAATTGGTCTTCTAGAAACATTTATTTCATGCAAACAATCTAAGAATCTAAGAATTGATTATATTATTTTCCGTATCCGGGCCATTACCAACCCGCATTAGTTACTATTTTTAAATTTAATAGGTATTAACACTATTTTAAATAACTATAAAAGCAAAACTTGTATAATGTTTGTATATTTTAGTTATGTTTATTACAATAGTAAAGCTTCAGGCTTCAGCCTCCCCAAATCTTAAACGCTTTTTGAGACTATGTTACCTACCCAAACATAATTTATTTTAAAATAAAAATTGTTGACTGCTATCTATCTTATTATGATTTTTTTCCGACAATTTTACATACACAAATATGTAAAAATGTTATGATTTCGTATGTTTAATATCATTGCGTACTCCACTCTGTTATACTTATGTATGAAAAATATCTCAATTTTTCCAGCTTACCGTTATTTATAAAAATTAATTTTAACATACTTTTATGAGGGTATATCACAAATATAACATTGTAGGCACATTGCACCGCACTTAAAATGTTGAGCGTTTTTTGAGATCGATTATAAACAACAAAATAAAAGACAATCTAAGTCGCCACTTCATGCTAGATTCTTACATAAAAGGTAACTATGTGTATTTCTTTGTCGAAAAAAACATTCAAGTGTATTTACTCAAATAATGAATTATAATAGACATTGTCAAATTAATGCCTCCTTCATAAACATTTTCATTGTATATAATTGTATGTTGTATATTTGGAATACATGTACATTTCATAATTATTTTATTAGACACTCCGCCACACTGTCTAAAAAAAACGGCTCTAAAATTGTGATAAATTTATAATAAGCTAAGTCTTTGAATTATAGATATTATTTTAACATAAAAGACAACTCTTAGAGTAGTTTTTTTTATACTCTTAGATTTTTTTACACGGAGTACGGCAGAGTATTTTTGTTGGGATATATCACTCATTTTTGGTTGATACTTTATTATTTCGGGAACATTTTGGTTTTACAATGGTCAATGATTTTTTTTCTTTTCTATTTTTGCAGATTAAAAATTATAATAGTAAATACTATAATTAAATTTTCTTTATTGGTTGCCATAGGTGTTGGGTAGTGCATTGAATGCAGTATGTGGGAAATATTGCCTAACAAAATGTTAAAAATACTAAACAATAATGTATAGTTGATTTGGCTATAACTTTGTTGATATTATCAAAATTATTTGAAAACTACACCATTAACTTCTACATACACATTCTGAAAGATTATGGTATTTTCAAACTTCATTATTCAACTACAAATTTGCTATGATTTCTCAAGAAATTTTTCTTGAATAGGCTTGGATCCTGTAATAATTATGGTCCTACAGTTTTCGTTTGTATTTTGTCTATATGTGTACCTACTGTAAGGAGCACTTTATTTTTATACTTAGCCAGACCCTGCCGAGTTGTTGGATATATTGTAACAAACTATGAGTACACTTAAATATTTCAGTAACATGTGCATCTATTATATGAACAAATATGTAGCTCTTATCAGTTGGTGAGGAGAGTATCTATAGAACTGACAACATCTTAAATAGGTACATTATTGAAATTACATTTATTTCAGTTTAAAAATATTGAATAAACAGTACTTATACAATAGTCATAGTTAGTACAAAATTATACAACGTATAAACACCAGTCATAATTAACACAATATGTATCTACTCCTTAATCATAATTTATTCGATAAAGATCCATAAATTATATTGGCGTTTAAATATTAATTAAGGGGGCTGCACAGTAGCATGTTTTAGGGAGTACTATTTAGGCAATTCATGTGACATATATATTGATATTGTACCTATGTGTGAGTAGTAAATGAACATAAGTGTGCGTAATCCGTTATCGTTTCCGAGAATCGCTGCACGTCGAGTCGGGTAACCGCGCCAGAAGCAACTCTCACACGCGCACGCACATGTCAATACATTGCAAAAAATTAAATATATTATTCTGGATTTGTATGACTATAAAACTACTAAAAGTGGTAGTAAATTAATCATACTTCCCGAAGTCCGATTGCAATTTCGAAAAAATGGTTGAATTTATAAACTTCTAGCCTATGCTTCTTAGGAATCACTTTTTTTTATTTAAAATCAGATGTGCAAAAAATAAATACAAATGTAATGCAATTATTTCATGGGATTTCTAAAAAAAAAATGGTTATTTTAAATTTAAAATTGAAAATCAACTTCCTAAGAAACCTAGATATTTTATCAATGAATTCAAACATGTATAAAAAATTTAAATCGGACATTCTGAAGTATGTGTAATTTACCACCGCATATTGGTCTAAAACATATGAAAAATACGTTTACTGCAGTCCCCTTATTACATAGATGTATAGCTAAAATAGTGCATCGATTATACACTGAATAGACATAAAGATGAAAGTTGCATTATAATAAATCACAGAGCTTATTGTGATTTATTCAGATATCTCACTATCGTATGTAATATAAACTACGGTATAAATATTCGCAATGTTTTTTGAAATTTTAAAACTTCTTATGTCCATAGTATTAATTATACATTTGAAAAAATAAATAAATTGTGGACATATTACTATATTTTAATCTAATTAAATATGGTGATTGGGCCGGAGAAGAAGCAATGTGAGCAACAGTTCCTTCTCCGGCTCTCGATTAAACCAAAAAAAAAAAAAAAAAAATATGGTGATTGAAAAAAAAAACAAATCTTGAATTTAAATATGTAATATTGTAATTTGTAATAATCGTATTATATGTAATGCATGATCTGTAAGATACAACTGGTAACTAATGGATATAATTTATTACAGTAATACAGTATACTGTACTTAACAGATCCATTAAATAATACAAATATCACCAATATTAATCTAATAATTAAACATTAAGTAGTTACTCCATTCTCCGCTGAAATTTCGAGTATTATATAAAATATGTTAATATATATAGGATTATATTTTCTTTGATATTATAATAACTAATAAGTAATGACATTTAAATTAGCTGACTTATATTACTATACAATATTAATTAAATACTATCAGTCGTTTTACTTGATCAATTCACTATTCAGTCAGTCATGTGACATTTTTAGAACTCGATTAACGAGTAGGATAAGTTTGAACTTCAGTTGTGACCAGTGAGAGAGACACGCTTGCTGCACAATGAAATGAACAATTCGTAAAAGCCAATAGAAATAAAAAAAATGTTTTCCACTATAGGTACATCTCAAATTATTAAATATATTAAGGGGCCTCGATACTGCCGTCAGTTTTAGTATTTACAAAATTAAAGTTAGTAAACGTTGTCCGATTTCAATTCTGAAAAAAAATTGAACTCACCAGAAAATAGTCTATAGATCCCACGAAGCACTTTGTAAAAACTAAATTTTATATTATTGTTAACTGTAAGTGAAAAATTTAAAATATCAACTTTTTTGAATCATAATTAAAATTAAAATTAATATTAAAAACGGAAAATGTTTAGTACCATCTACAGACATTTTTCTGCTAAATTCAAATATTTTTTCGCAATCAAAATCAGACAACGTTAACTAACTTTAATTTTGTCAAAAAAAAATGTATGTTTTTGTAAAATTGGTGTAGTGAAATTTATAATATGGTTATTGAGTTATTGACATGTGCATGCGCATACGACAGAGGATACCCGCATTTAATTTCACTCCCACTAATAATCATTTACAACTAACACATGGACCTATGAAGGCTATGACAAGATTAGAAATTGCCTAAATGTTGCGCCTTAAATCATTATTTAACCTTAGCGAGGCTCTTTAAATATAATTTACCCAAATGTTATGATTACAGATTAGGTATAAAATGTAATAAAATGTTTGAAATGTGAAACGATAAAATAAAATCGATAAGCCATAACACAAAAAAATCGATGATGATACAAAAATGTCAGTAAATGTTTTTTTTACATTATTAAAATTTGTTTGCGTCTTAAGCTCGGCTCGCGGCTCATGTTGGCGAGGTATCATACAGGCTTGGTACAGTCACGGGCCACGAGTTGCGAACCGAGCCACGAGTTGTGGGAAACCGGCTTCTCTGTAACACACGAGCTGCCCAACTCTGTTATATAATATTATTGGACGAGGTATCAAAAAAAAAAAAAAATAGTAATTAACAATGATTTTAGTAAATTAATAAGTACCTAAAATTAATAATAATGAACATTTGAAAATAAAAAAATTCGACACGGTGTATGTAAAGGTGACTCTGGTATATGAGCACCAGGTTACCGCGGTACACAACTCAAAACAATTCTGTGCCGTGAACGATTCGCGGGCGATGTCGTCTGGAGGACGGTGCAACGCGGCGAGGTCCCGTCTGTCCGCAGTTGATTGGCACTCCGACAAAGCTCATCACGCTGTCACTGCTTCCGTTGATGATATAGCCATGATGATCATGATGAATGGCGTGTGCCGCCGCAGTGTAATATCCATCTTCGCCGTCGGGTACGTTGTACCACCGACAGCACTTTTCCAAATATACTAAAATCCTTGGCAGAGTACGGCGGAAACTCGAACTCGGTGTCCCGTCCCATCCACTGACCCTTCCGTCAACCTGGCCACCATCTCGCCATCCGTTCTGTAGGCGGTCCAGTCTGCCACCGACCCTTCCGTCAACCTGGCCACCATCACGCCATCCGTTCTGTAGGCGGTCCAGTCTGCCACCAGGTCTGCCGTTCCATCCATCCAACCAGCCACCGCTCCATACATCGACAAACGGTGACTTATCTTGGTCCGCATCGTCAGAAGTAAGTCGTTCCGGCCACCACCCGTTCTCGTCGTTTTCCTGCAAGGTCCAGTGAAAATGGCAGTTGCAAGTGTCGGAATCCGACATAATGTTGTTGTCCTCACGATCTATAAAACATAAGTTCTGCAGGTATGATATAAGTTATAGTGCAGGGAAATATAAACATAATTAACAAAAATTAGTAGGTAGGTAAAAAGTATATTGTAATATTGTCTACAGTAAGAATAAAACATTTTTTATTTCAGCTCGAATTTATTCGTCTTATAAATCTGAACAAAATAAGTTTTTTTTTATCAATGTTCTCTAGAGCATTAGAAAAAAACAACGAAAACACAACAATAATACGATAACCTTCATAAGAAAAAAAGTGGATAAGTGCATGTCACTCTGATGTACAGTAGGTTACAAGTGGGTCAATGTATAATGGATGGTATTAAATTTGAATTCAATGATATAATATCACTGTATAAGAAAAATGATTCTGAGCGGAGACGGTATGTCAGTCTAGGTATAAGGCATATTATATACATATCTATGGTATTAAAAAAAAATTTACCTATAATAAATTTTAAATTAATCATATCACAATATCCATTATGTACTGCCTCCCTTTGCATGTTTTATTTTAAATGCCCGGGGAATAATTTATTTACAAACGTTTTAAAAATATATATGCATCGACTTACGTAACATTTTACTGTGACCTTTTTTGAGAGGGAGTAACATTTACCAACTCCGGGGTACCGTACTCATATAAAAATCAAGTGTAAAGACAGTTGTAAGATTCCCACTCCCCTCCAACCACCAAACGTTTACTCAAACCATACCCATTAAATTGGACTGACTTACATAACTGAACCTACCAATCAACCCCAAAATCCATCCACTAGTAGAGGCACAAGCCTGGAATAGTAAACGGCATAGCCACCCCTCCCAAAGCAAAGCAAGCAAAGCAGTTGTAAGATTGTATCTAAGGTGAGTTAGGTATACGCAGTATTGTTGCATGTAGAGTAAAATACATGCTTACCTACTATAATGTAAGCGTGTATCATGCTACAACTCGTAAGTTGACTTCATACTGGATTCAATTTTTTTATTCGTAACCCAACACCGGTCGAAGCAATTGATATAAATGAAATTGTTTGATAGGCCTATAGGTATTTAAAAACGTATGCATTCAAACGGTAGCGATATAAATAAACTTGCGAGATGATCCATATAGCAATGCAGACAACCTCTCTCACGCTCGCGAGGAAGTCGATTTATATAATATACCATTTTAATGCACACGTTTTATGAACCTACCTATAGAGATCAGACGATAGACCTAACAAACAATTTAATTTTTATATTTCGATCCGATCGATTTAGGGAAACGAATAAAACAGATTTGAGTATGAAGTCAACTTACGAGTATATTTTGTCTTCAGTCTGGAGTCCAGACAGGTCAATTTAGTTCTTTAGATTGTGCAAACCATGATTTAAAATATATATGAAATTTAGATTTAAAATTTTGAAAAGTCTCTAGTAATGTCGAATCTCAAGTATCGTAAGCATATCATACTGAAATATTTAATTCAAATCTGATTTTATAGAGCTTTCTGGTCAAAATTAAAGGGCGTCCGTAAATTCCTCTAAATGTTTCAGTACCTACCTTAAACATGCATACATATTGCATACATGGTGTAACAGTTAGAACTGTCTTTTGAAATAACTTTTGTTCTAATCATTATTGTTGTATATAATTTATAGCCACTTGCGCTACACGTGTAATAAAAAAAAATCATTTTAGATTCTGAGCGGAGCGATGAATGTATTGGTTTTACAATGATGTATGTTTTTATATTTTTATTTATATTTTTATTTATATTTTTGTGTCTGTCATCACGTTTTGGGACAGTAAAAGTGCTTCGATTTTCTTCAATAGTACCTTTTCTGATAGGAAAGTGAATCTAGTTGGTACTTTGGGGGGGTCAAAAGTAAACATTTTCCAGTAGTTTTCACAAGCGCGGGGAAAAACAACATAAAAATTAAGGAAAAACGGGAATTTTTACGCAAAATCGATTTTCCAAAAAATCGAATTTGGTTTTTGGTGTAACTTTAAAACAAATGACCGTAGATACATGAAATTTTCACTGGTTGTTTATATTTGCATTTTCTATACACGATAACATTTTTTAAATATTTTGATTTATTTTGAACTGTTTAGGGACATTTTCATTTTTCATTTTTTTTTAGTTTTTTTTCTAGAAATATCAATAAAATTTTATTTGTTGGTTGCGAAAGCTTGAAAATTTAATAGAAGGCTCCTTATATGTTGTTTCAAAGGCAGATGAAAAATATTAAAAATCCTTAGTCACAATTTTTTTTTATAAGCATTTGAAGTTTAAAAATTTACAAAATATGGAAAAATCACGAAAATTAGCAAATTATTTTGAGTTAAGAATTCGTAAAAATTTTTCTTTTTAAATCTAAGATTTGAAAATGAAACACAAGATTCCTTATAAGATTATCTGCCTTTATCAATAAAAAAATCTCTACCGGACAGTCAAGTTAAATTTTATGAGCGTTTGAAATACAAATTTTTACAACATTGGATATTCACTCGATTACTCATGTAGCGATTTCCTTATTTTGTTGCAATTCAAAAACGAACAACTGTAGATACATGAAAATTTCACTCAATGTTTAAATTAGCATTTTCTATACACCATACAATTTTGAAAATATTTTGACTCTTTTTGAGCTGTTTATGGACATTTACAGCTTTCAATTTTTTTTAGTTTTTTTTTCTATAAATATCAATAAAGTTTTATCTGTTGGGCCAAAAAGTGGAAAAATTTAATACAAGGTTCCTGATATATTGTTACAATAGCAGTTGAAAAATATTAAAAATACATAGGCACAGTTTTTTTTTTATAAGCATTTAAAGATCAAATTTTGACAAAATTTATCAAAATCTCGAAAATTATCAATCATTGTAATTAATAAATTATAAAATGTTCAGTTTTTATAGCTAAGGATTGCAAATTCAACACCAAGGTTCTCGTAAATAGTTCATACTGTAACCAAAAAATCTAAAAAATATATGAACACACTTATTTTTTACAGACATTTTAAATTCAAATTTGGACGAAATTACATATTAAAAAACCTAGAATAACTATTTTAGTTATTTTGTTGTGATTGAATAATATTATTCGTGGGTACTTGAAACTTCTAAAGTGTACTATTATATATCTATGATAGTATCACGGTTTTTGTTGATGTATAACGTGTTATAAGTATCTAATGGATATTGTGATTTGATTAATTTGGAATTTATTATAGGTACCTATTATAGGTCAATTTTTTGTTTAGTACCATAGATATGTATATAATATGTCTTATACATAGACTGACATACCGTCACCGCTCAGAATCGTTTTTCTTATACAATGATATTATATCATTGAATTCAAATTTAATACCATCCATTATACAGTGACCCACTTGTAACCTACTGTACAGCAGAGCGACACCCACTTGCCCACCCTTTTTATTTTTAATACTGAAAATTTTAAATTTTAAATTTGATTTAAATTTATTTTGAATAAATTTAAAATAGCCAATTTGTGAATCTGATTATAATAACGATTTGGATGGTAAAAACATTTATTTAAGTCAAGTAGGTAGTTAATTTTTTAGAATTTTTATAAATATCAATATTTTTTTGATTAAAATTTATTTTTACCGCAATGACTTTTTTAAAATATTATTTTCACGTGAAGATTTATTACTGCAGATCGTGACAATGGTGATTGAGGCTCACAGCCAACAAGCAACAATATATATTAGGTTGGTATAATATTCTATTTGGCAATTTTAGGTTGAAATTATTAATGATGGATCATTTCTGATGGGATGGAAAATAGGGCGTAATTTTCATATAGGTATACACACCAACATATTATTACTTGGAAACGTTCGGGGTGGAGTTTTTGCAACGCACTGTTTTATTATTTATCACGTGTTCAATTGAAAAGAATTTTATGGGTGGAACCCATGCACCCTCACTGTTAAGTGTTAATTATTATTAACAGACATCTGTTTTCGATTCTAACAACATCGGACTAGCATAATATATAATATATACCTACCCAACGCTTCAAAAATGATTTCTGTTTAATAATATGTAAACCCAATCTAATCTAAACGTATAAATTAAACGTGTATATACGGAAATACGTGTTATAATAATAATTGACGCTCTATATGAAATTATTTAAACTATTGTTATTGTTGTCTATACGGCGATGTATAAGTACCTTACACCCATATACAGCCACTAAACATTATCAACAAACTTAAAAAGTTTAAAAAATAAAGTATAAGTATAAACCTCGATATCAAAATAATTAAATGTAATATTGTTTCTAATGGAAAATAAGAGTATGTACATCTTTATACTATACAAGTTAAAACAATTACCTTCTAGCTCTCATCCCAGTGTAATAAGTCATAAGTACATATGATAAGCTCCCTCCATAATCGACATTTAATAACAATTAATCATTCAAATTTTCAAAAAATTTTGAAATGTTCTTGTGTTCAAAACTGTTAAGTATTACAATAACAGTATAAATATATTATGTGTGAAACATTATTACATTTAATAATAGGGAGTACAAATACCTATAAATAATAAAAATACATCATTATACACTCACCGGTAAGAAGTATATTTTCCAGCTATTAGCACGATCGGCACTTGGCACTCGAGTGTCTACGAGCGTACAACAATAATATTATTGTATTTTATACACTCTGAAGTGATGACTGCCGTCCTCTACATGGATTCACGACGACGTCCGGCGATATACCTACTGTGATGTCCGATAGTATCTAATTGAACCAATGATACCGCGTGTGGGTATGTACCAAAACACATTAAAATTACTTATCACCTGCAGCACTTTTCGTAACGATTGCGCACCGTAGTGGTTCTCCCGAACACCGTTGTTGAACCACTGAACGCGCGTCGCCGTGGTCTTCGACGACAACCCAACGATTGCCCATAATATTGAAAAAAAAATATGGTTCTAAAT